CTCTCTCTCTCTCTCTCTCTCTCTCTCTCTCTCTCTCTCAGTCCGGTAATAACCTGTGAAGGTGGCGCCTTGTTGCAGTCTCTCTGGCCTCCGCCAACCATCTCTCTCTCCCCAACGCTACTCTAGCTCCTATTAGCGCCCAGTGCCGAAGACTACCCCTAACGCTACTACTACTACTGCAGCGCTCCTCCAGGGTGCTGCTGCCGAATCCTGAAGACTGCCTCCTGCCTCCTGCACGTGAAGTGCGTGTGAACTGCCTGCGAAGTTTCTACGTACTGCCTGCAGCCTGCAGGGTGGGCCAGTCTTATATAGTGCTGGCCTGTCCAGGAGGCTGTTCTTGCCAAGGCCAAAACGTGCCAGACCCTGGCGTTGAAGTTCAAACAAAGGTTGTCTTGACAACAGGCCCAAAATGGTCTGTGCTAAAACCCTAGTCTGGTGCCTAAGTTTCAGGGCAGGTCGACTTCATGAGGGCCTGAAAATGGCCCTCGTTTTCAGGCTTTTAGGCTGAGACGACACAGGGCTGTAGGCCCTTCGTTTTCAGGTTTTTAGGCTGAAACGACACAGGGCCTGTAGGCCCTTGTTTTCAGGCTTTTAGGCTGAAACGACACAGGGCCTGTAGGCCCTTGTTTTCCGGCTTTTAGTCTGAAACGACACAGGGCCTGTAGGGCCCTGAATTTCCCTCTGGTCGGGCCCTGCAGACCCGTGTGGCTGCGCAGTATGCCACACTAAGCCTACCAGGTCTGCCTTTTGGAAAATTCGAAATCCACTTGCCTGGTAGGGTCTGTTGTAACGTTGGCCTACAGTGATTTACTTGCAAGTCACGTCCAATCTCCTTGCTTTTAGCACTCCACAAGAGCCCCACTTCATCCCACGCAAACAAACTTGCGAACTGGACAGTCATTCATTCTGCGGCCCTGCTCATCACTCTTGAAGAGCTGCTTTTAAACCGAGGCCTACGGCCTCTGCCTTTTGTGAAATTCGAAATCTACTGGCCTGGTAGGGCCTAGTTTAACCTTGGTGTACAGGGATTCTACTTCCGGGTCCCAGGTCCAAATCCTGGCAGGAGCAGCAGCAAAGCAAAAACCTAGAGAATTCAAGAGAAAATTGGGGAAGGTTGCAGGTTCAAAACCTGCTGGCCAACGATAATCCTTTCCTCAGGCCAAGAAACTGCTATATCTTTTGGCCCAAGTACATTGCATTGCTATTGGGAATCTACATTTTGGAGATTCTGAAGTATGGAAACAAAGGTTTCAACTGTCAAGTTCTTACAGTAAGACTCTCTCTCTCTCTCTCTCTCTCTCTCTCTCTCTCTCTCTCTCTCTCTCTCTCTCTCTCTTTTGTGTGTGTGTGTGTGTGTGGGGGGGGGGGGGAGGTAAATGTGTGCATGTGGGTGTGTCTCCCTCTCCTTTGGTTCTGTGCAGCTGCAGGAGCTGGAGGAAGGGGGAGTGTATCGAGTGACAGGACTTGTGGCAAAGGGAAAACTTGGTTATGCGACAGCGAGGAGGGAGGTGTTCTTAAGCACAAGCCGAAATTCAAAATGGGAGAGAATGACAAGCGCATACCTCAAGAACGTCATGTGCGTCCTAATTGTCAGGCTCTCAATCTCTGGTTATTTTCTTTTCCAGATATATTTTGCTTTTATGCTACATGTAATGTAATACTTAGCAGATGAAAGCAAGAAATGTTGATAAATACGTTGAGAGCTCACAATCTTGAGTCTCGCAAGTGAAATATTCTAGAAGGTTCACCCAGCACTCCCCCCCCCGGCCCCCCTGCCAATCCTCTCTCTCTCTCTCTCTCTCTCTCTCTCTCTCTCTCTCTCTTGCTGCAGTCTATAATTTTTTTCCCTTTCTTTTTTTTCGTTTTTTTTTTCTCTGTTTCGCTTTTTCTCTCTTTCTTTTCTGTTCCAGGTGTTTGTTGCTTTTATGCTTAATGTAATACTCAGCCGATGAAACCAGGAAATGTTGATAAATCCATTGATAGCTCAGGAATCAAATAACTCGTGTCTGTTGCTTTTAATGCTTAATGCCATGCTCAGCTGATGAAACCTGGAAATTTTAATCCGTTGCAAGCTCAAAATCTTGAATCAAATAAGTGAAACAATCTCAAAGGTTCACCCAGCAGCCCCTTGTCCCTCTCTCTTGCTGGAATCTGGAAGTGCTTTCTCAAAGAAGGTGCTATTTGGCTATGTGTGGCTCTATCTCCCAGCTTTGATGTTCCTGAACTTATGGATGACTTGATTAGAAGCGTCAAGGCAAGGACCAAAAGCGGTCTTCCAGCCAAGACAGGGGGTTTACTGTTCGAGGGGCTTGTGGAGCGAGCCGGGCGATCTGTTCTAGCGCCAGGGCATGCCAAGGGAGATCGTGAGTGAAGACCAATCTCTTGATCCACTGCACCATTAGTGCTGTGACCTGGGTGCCCGGGTCCAGAATACCCAAACCTCCTTTGTCCTTGGGTTGGATCACTGACGTCCATGCTGCTCTGTGTATAACATTAGTAAGCTCGCTGTTACCCCTCCACAGCATTGCCGTTATTTGTCGTTTGAGGGACCGCACTGCTTCTTTGCTAAATGCCCATATTGCAGATTTATACCAGAGGGCGGCCAACACCACACTGTTGATCACTAGCGCCCTACCGATTAGGGAGGTATATTTGTCATTCCAGTGCGCCAGCTTCTCTAGAGCAGGTTTGAGGATCCAGTCGTCGTTCAATGCCGGTTTTCCTGTTGCCGTCAACATTATTCCTAACACTCTCACCGGGGCCGTTTGAGGGAGCCATTTAACTTGTGGCTGCTGCGGGGGGTGTGCCCCTTGGTGGTGTATCCACCACCCAAGGGTTTTGTTGCCCCAATTTACTGTCATGTCTGAAACAGCCATGAATTTGTCAAACAAACGTCTGATCTCTTCCATATTCTCGCTGGTGGCGTCTACCATGAGTGTCAGGTCGTCAGCGAACATTGAGCAAACAGGGATGGCTTCTTCCGGAATGGCTGAAATCTGCAACTTCCTCAGGCTTTTGTTTGCACGGAGGTTCGCTGCCAGCGCTTCCATCACAATTAATACCAGCCGGGGACCTGCATTGCGGATCTCCCCTTTGATCCGGAGGAGTGGCAGTGGCCCCCCGCGCGGAGAACCCCAAAGACACAGAATGTGAAACTCTACAGCCTGACAGTGAAGGCCACCTATCGCTTACTGCGCCCTAAGGTGAACTTGAAAGATATCGTAAAAACCCGGTGGAGATCTCATCTGAATGTCGGGGTTGATGCCATCCGCCCCATTCAGTGGTTCTCCCTCGCCAAACCAGCGAAGCTAGCCTCACTGCAGTGGCAGATAGAGCACCGCTGCCTCCCCACCAATGACTGGCTAATAAACCGCACCTACCTGGAACAAAAAGGACTGGCACTCCCGTGGTGTAAATCGTGTCACGCGGCATTCCCCTCCCGAAAGATCCCGGAAACCATCAAACATATTTTCCTGCAATACCCGGGATCTGTTCTTACATGGCGATGGTGGGACAGGATTTGGAGGCTGCTGGACACCGGCACAAACTGGCCATGGGACTGGAGGACGATCCTGTGTGAGACACGGACCTCCCCTGCATCCAGTACCTTCGAAGAGAATATGTTTAAAATAGGAAGGAGAGCGGTTATGTGGGCGATCTGGAGGAGACGTTGTATACATGTCATGGAGGGAGTCCGCATAGCCGGGGAGGAAATGACAGACATGATCAAACAATTCATACACCAAGAACTTATGACGCAATGGCAGAAGGTCAAAAGTTCGCTGGATCTATGCCAAACAAAGGAAGAAATAGAACAAAAAATCAGACAATTTTCAGGGGACTGGCTGGGCGGTGCGGACGGAGGCCGAATCGCTTTCATCAAGTGGGATGGAGGCCAAACCCGGAGCAACGAAGCAGGCAACCACGACGGCAACAGGGAGCTGATCACTAAAGATTATCAGATCTGTTTCAGAGACTGGACAACGGTGGGCCAAGGGGTTCCGTTACGGCCACCATCGGACTTTCCTGACCCCTTTCCACCCCATCAGTTGGCGGTAGTGGACATGCAGTGGTATGGGGCGGAGTAAGCAGGCCTGTTTCTGCTTTTTTCTTGACTTAAGCAGGCCTGTTTCTGCCTTTTTCTTGACTTCAGTCTGCATCGGCACTCCCGGTGCTAGCGGTGTCTGCTCTCATCAGCACCGCTAGCACCGGTGAGGGTTGCCCAAGAAAAGGGTGAGTAGTTGGACACAAGGGGGAGAGGCAGAAGGGGGGTACTGCCGTGCTAGAGGGCGCTAATTCAAATGTGGTGTTTTGAATTTTGTCTATGTAAGGGACGCTGGACCCGGTTTCCAGCAGRKGAACAGTGTTGCTTTTCAGAACTTGGAAGTGGGGGGAGCCAGGAAGAGAGAGCAGATATCTGGCGCCAGGTGCAAGGTGAAGAGSCCCCCCCGCCCAACCTCCTGCTCAGTCAATCCCCTGGACCCCAGGGTAATCAATGCTGGCAGGATCGTACCACACTTTTCTGATGTGATTTGAATCTTGTCTATGTAAGGGACGCTGGACCCGGTTTCCAGCAGGTGCTGCTCCCCACCAATAGATGGAGCCCCCCCTGGGTGCTAGCGGTGTCTGCTCGTACCAGCACTGCTAGCACTGAAAGCTTCTTTCTTTCTTTTTTTTCAGTGAAATAGCATGATTTGAATTGATTTCATTATATGAGGAGGCTGGGAATCCCTCCACATCTCAACCCGGAAAACTGGGGCCGATACCCAGCTTAGGCTCATACGGGAACAAGGGTCCCGTGTCCCCTATTTCAGCCACCTTCTACTATTCCAGAACAAAATACAAAACTGGACAAAGAAATCTACAAAAAGCACAAGGGATGGAAGACACACGTGGAAGATGCTAAACACCCATAAACCTAGCCTACCAGAGTGGCCCGGGGTCACTTGCCCGGCCGGGCCAAAAAGATTAAAAAAATATAATAATAATAGAAGAAAATATTTTAAAATTTTATTTTATATTTTACATTTGGTAGAGCATTTCGATGTGACCCTGAGGCAAAAGTTGTTCAGTTTATTTTTCTGCATAACATAGTTTTTTTTCGGATTTTTTGGATTTTGTTTTTTTTTTGGCTGGGACCTTCCCTTGTCCTTGCTCGGGCTAGCCTGCCTAGCCATAAACTGAATCGCTTTTCTTAAACCCTGAACCCTAGGTTTTCTGTAACTAATTTGATGGTTTACCTTCCTAAATCCTAAAACCCTCCTAGTCCCTGTGGACTAACGGTGAGGTCTCCTCTCGTCCCTTTTTTACCACCCCTGCCCGCTGACCTGTCAGGCTCTGAGTTGTAACGTTATGCGCACTCCCCCTACGGTGGCCATCTTCCCGGTTCCTAAGCTTGTGCATTCAAAGCGAGCTTGGATGTTCTTGACTCTTTCCGCATTCTGCTGTATCTTATGTCTTACCCTATTCAATTGGACCCTTATCTCTGTTTCCATTAGATTTTTGTAAATCTCCTTTGCTTCTGGGATAGGCATTGGTCTTTTCTCTACTGTGATCTGACATCTCCTCTTCCATATAGTCTATAAAGGCATATTGTCTCAAAAGGTGGAAGTTCTTCTGGAATACTGACCAACTTGGTGGTGTTTCCCCTCCTCTGGAAATTGTGTGTCCGCCATGTTCTCCCACCATTCTTTAGCTATCTGCCAGGTTGCTTTAGATCCCTTACAGCCCACTAGGCAGTGTTCCACTGTCTCTCTCACCCCTTCTGCATTCAGAGGATTTCTGTGCTCCTTGCTTCTGTGAACGTTCACCCATGCATTGACTGGCAGTGCCACGTAGTAGGTCGACCATTGCATGCTACGTACGAGGCCTAGCCTGATGGTTTCCAGGTTTGACATCTGGAACACTGACATCTGCCCTGCAGGTACTCCCATGTTGTCCTCTCATCTCTTAGTCAGAGTGTCCCTCAGGGGATAAGGACGCAGCTGAAGTTTGTAGCCCAAGCTGGCCATGTAGTGAAGTATGTTTGTACTCGGGATACGTTGAATCGGCCTTCTCGCAAATTCCATGCCCACTCCGCCGGGTCCAACTCAAGATCTTCCACCGGGGTAGTGGGGCAATAGATGGTGAAATCCTCCGTTTTCACCACCCTTACCTTCTGCATGACCTCTATCCGAATTGTCACCAGGGTTTTAGATTCTTTGTTCAGCAGGCTTGTTGTGTCTCCTTGCTGTTCGATGTACATGTCTGGGGAAAGCCACTGCCTGAGGTCCCACTTGTTGGTGCACCTAAAGACCACTCTTGGAGTGCCGTCCTTCCTCTGTGTTACCCAATCCCCGTAGCCCCACTGTGACCCCTTCTCCAGCACCCTCCATTCTCCCGGAATTGAGACCAGTACATCGTTTAAGTTCTCCACCCATGTTCCCCATCTGGAGTCACTGCCTGTTAATGTTCTGGGACGTCCCCGTTCATCCTTTATCGCCGGATTGCAGAACAATCGTCGTCTCAGGACCTCTTCCCTAGTACGCGGCTGGCCGCTTCTAGATGGAAAAATGCTCCACCATGGTTTTAACAGGTGGCCCCAGTATGTTCCCTCTCTTTCTTCCACTTGTCTGTGCTCCGTTCTGTCTCCTTTTCTGGTTAGTTTTGCCCAACTCTTGCATTGTAGCTAGAACAGCCTGGACGTGTTGGGTGGAGTTGTGCATTTCGCCATCCTCCTGATTCGGTAGAGGGCAAGGGGACTCGACGGGAGGGGATGGTTTGTGATTAGCTTTATTCTCCATTTGACCTGTAGGGCCTTCAGCTGCAGTTCCGGGTCTATTATACCTAGTCCGCCCCTTTCCTTTTCCTGATGACATTATTCCACGCCACTTTGGAAATTAAGTGAGGCCTAGACGGATTTGCTGTCCACAGGCATGCTGCTGCCTTTCTCCTCAGGTCCGCTGTTACCTGCACTGGCGGACTCCAGACTGATCCTGTGTCCATAACATCGAGAAGACTGATGCACTCAGTATTAGTGGTGTACCATATAAGGAGGCATAGACTGATGCCCATGTTCCCATTTTCTTTTTATCATCTTTGATACTAAGTCTGGGGCCATAGAGTAATGTGGGCCTGATTCTGAGATTTTGATGCCCAAGAAAAACGCAGAGGTTCAGCCGAGGACAGCCATTGCATGCCGTCCGGGCTGACTGTCGGGCCCGGTTTATCTAGACTCTGGTCCGCCAACCACCACCCCAGTGTCGTACCCCAGTTGATGTTCATAGCAAGGCGTGCATAGCTCTCGTGAGGCCTGAGGAGGAGGAGTCCGAGGCCCGGGTCAGCACTGTGAGGTCCTCTGCGAAAAGGATGGTAGTCGGGATGATGATCTCCCGCCCCTGTTGATCCGGCTCCTTCACCAGATGTTGGATCTATGGGTCCTTTCTAAGGAAGGATGCCACCACCTCCATTATAAACAAGAATATTGGTGCTGCTAGCGGGTCTCCCTGTCTGACTGACCTTGATGAACCATGAGCGTCGTTGTCAGGGACGCTGACCCACTTCCTGAAGCTTGGTCCTACCCCCATTTTCTCCATACATTGTTGGAGTAAATTCCAATTTACCTGGTCGTACGCCTTCTCAAAGTCAAAGAATAAAATTGCTGCATTTATTCTTTTGTCCTTAATGTAACGCACTGATTCCATTCGGGTCATTACACCATCTAGAATATAGCGGCCAGGGATGAAGCGGGTATTTGGAAACAGCCCCGTGTGACGTCACTTAGTTTATTGGCGAGCGCCTTAGCTATTCTTTTGTGCGTTGAGGTGAGGGAGAGTTATGAGTGTATCCAGAGGGAACAATTCCGGATTGCAAATGGGAAGCGACGGGGAGTAAAAAGAAGGGAAGGTGGGGTAAACTCAAATATGACCTGGGGGGTTGGCGGGGGTGGGAAGGGGAAGGGATTTCAAGGGGACGAAGGGAGTTTGATTTTGAATCAATTTGCATTAAATTTGGTATTTGAATATGGGGTTGGGAAAGTCACTTTCCGAATTCTCAACTCAGAGAGAGAGAGAGAGAGAGAGAGAGAGAGAGAGAGAGAGAGAGAGAGAGAGAGAGAGAGAGAGAGAGAGAGAGAGAGAGAGANGAGAGAGAGAGAGAGAGAGAGAGAGAGAGAGAGAGAGAGAGAGAGAGAGAGAGAGAGAGAGAGAGAGAGAGAGAGAGAGAGAGAGCAGAAGGGGGTAGAGGAGTGGGGGAAGGGAGAGAGGCAGCTAAAGAGGGGCAGGGTGTTGAAGGAGGTCATCTTGGACTATGTCCCTGTCCAGAGGAAACAATTCCAGATTGCAAATGGAAAGGGACAGGGAGTAAAAAGAAGGGAAGGTGGGGTAAACTCAAATATGACCTGGGGGGTTGGCAAGGGAGAGAGGGAGCTAAAGAGGGGCAAGGTGTTGAAGGAAGTCATCTCAGACTATGTTGGCAAGGGAGAGAGGCAGGTAAAGAGTGGCAGGGTGTTGAAGGAAGTCATCTCGGACTATGTCCCCATCCAGAGGAAACGATTCCAGATTGCAAATGGGAAGGGGCGGGGAGTAAAAAGAAGGGAAGGTGAGGTAAACTCAAATATGACCTGGGGGGTTGGTGGAGTTGGGAAAGTCACTGTCCGAAATTCTCAACTCAGAGAGAGAGAGAGAGAGAGAGAGAGAGAGAGAGAGAGAGAGAGAGAGAGAGAGAGAGAGAGAGAGAGAGAGAGAGAGAGAGCTTGAAACAATTCCGAATCTCAGATATGGATATTAGAGGTGGAGAAGATTGATAGAGAGACGAAGAGTGAGAGAGAGAGAGAGAGATCTTGAAACAATTCCGAATCTCGGATATGGATATTAGAGGTGGAGAGAGGCATCTTGATAGTCATTCCAAATAAGGAAGGTTTTGCACCTGATGTCATCTGTGGGCTGATACCGAGCACAGGCCACTTTGAAAAGGCGCAGTTCCAGGCTCGCGAGCCTTAGAAGGTAACTTCCTAAACTTAGGCTCATTTAAACTGGTGGTTTAAAGCGTGTTGAACGACATGGCCATTATCTTTTTGAGACCTTTGCCACCCTTTGAACAAGGAATATTTGGTATCTTATTTTTTTGATATTTTCCTGATCTCGAGTGTCTTTTTCTTTAAAAAAACTTGTGATCAAACCCTAGAACCGGCACGGGATGTTCCGGTGTTGTGCTGCCCAGAATCCCTGGCCTCGAGCTATCTGATGTGCACTGGGCCCATAGGTTATTTTGCGTTGCTTGGGCCCCGAGGCTGCCCATCAACTCGCCTCGTGCTCTAGAGGAATTTGTTACCCACCGGAGTGAGAATTTAAGAACACGCCGGGGTTGCATGCCTGCCGACTGCCGACCCTGACCGCCGACCATATTGCAGCCGACCAGTAGGGCTGACCGGCCGGCGGTCTGCCCACCAGTCAGAAAACAACCATCCACT